TATACATGAGAGACATGATGGCTGAAGCTGAGGAAAAATACCTCTATTTGAAAACATCTGCGGTCAGTGTCAGAGCACAACATGAAGTCAGGGCCACTAAATATTAACTAACATTAAAAGCAAACACAAATGTTATACATTTAGCCATATAACTATGAGTTTGAAGTCCTAATAGGTGCCCAGCTGCTGTACACCTCAACGAGGTACTTAACTACGCAGATAAAATCATTGCCATAAAGTATCAGCAAGCTTAATATTGCGAAGGACAGAGACCTCTTCATAGGCACACACCACCCACAGAAAGGATCCTGTGCAGACCAGCAGTCCCTCATGCTGCTGTATTGGTCACACTGAGCCACACTGACTGCTCTCAGCTATAAAACAAAGTGAAATTATCACCAAGGGTCAACAGAAACTAGCAAAGGTATCTGATGGTCTGTAATGTGACATGACAGAAGCCACCTGGTTTCCCGTCACCATGTAGATACGCTTTTTATCCTCTGGGTCTAGAAGCATTTTGTAGAACACGGGGACGTCATGGTCAGATTGGTACAGGACCCTTGGACAGGTGGGTTTAAGGTTCCCATCAAGTGAGATCTCCGACAAAAGATGCACAAGAAAAGTTTATTTTCATATAGAGGTTTTTGGAGAATATCAATCAATTGCCACTTTCACTTATGCATGTGTCCTAAACTCAGACAATAGACTCGCTGAGCATTTGACAAATATGACATTGTGGATCAATCCTAATTATGGGGGATTCAGCCATCCAGTTTTTGTCTCAACCCCCTGAAAAATTGTTACTCTAAATCAATTTAACGATTTTGTTCTGTATTTCTTAGGGGCTGAGCCCCCCCCGAGATTAAAATCCTAGAATTGCCCCTGGAATCAGTCTTCTCATGATTATTATCCGTCACCTTCAGGCATGGAGGCAAAAGGTCATAGTGAACACGTTCCGGGTATCATGTTCCTGAATCCTACCTTAATCAGCTGCCCATTAGCTGTCCCAACGAACAGAACCACCCATGAGCCAAAAGATAGAGCGGTCACCGATGTCATTGAGGGATGTGTGAACGCCACAGCTTCTGGCTTCAGATCATCCTGAGGATTCTATACCCGAAACGATTTAAGCTACATTTAGAAAAGGGTAGCTGACAGTTTGTAACTGAATACTCCGACACATTATTCCACTCCCCTACATACAGCAATACCTCCACAAATAGTATAAATATTTACTTCACTTCAACACAGATATTTAAAAAAACGCAATGCACATAGCCTACCTTTGTAATGTTGTAAATGGCCAGCGCTGTATTTCTTTGATCGCTCGTCTTACCGGC